AATTTAAAAATTCATTTTATTAAATATTTATATTTATATTTAGAAACTAATTATATTAGAATATATAATCGATTTCTAAATTTAAGTATCAATATTTAATAAAATGATTTTTGAATTTTAAATTAAGATTTTAATTTTTAAATACAAATTGAAACTCTAATTTTTTTTAGAGTCACAATTAAAATGCACTAACCTCTTTTAGGTACATATATTATATTATATGATATTTTTATATTTTATTTTAATTGTGCTATGAGCAAAATCCCATACTTTTGTACTACAAAAATGCCCCTAAAACATCTTCTTCCTCCTCAAACTTCTTCCCCCACAAAAAATATTTATGGGCATTGTAAGTTTATGTAAGCTAATTTAATCTCATGTTATTGTCCTATCATCCAAAAAACTGTTATTTTGAATTGAATTAATGGTCATATTATTACTTAAATAATGAAATAATTAAAATGAAGTATAATTTATAGAGTAAAAGACAAACAAAAAACTAAAAATAATTCAAAATTTAAAAATATTTAAAAAAGTTTTTCTAACTTATAATGAAAATGACAACAATTAATATTAATTTTATCACTAATATTATATAGATAATTTTAAATAGATAGCCGATTAAATAAATGTTAATTTAAATTTTTTAATAACAATTAATATAAAAAGAGTACCCTTAACTTATATCTTAAAATACAAATTAAAAAATTCATATTTAAAATACGAAATTTAGAAACTAAATTCATTTAACCAAATTTTTCTTAGTAACGGAAAATTGACATTTAACCAAACTTTCTTTTTCATATTTTTGGTAAGATACCAATCTTTCTCGGTATCGGAAAAAAGACTTTCCCAAAACTAAAGGCTGGGGAATCCGGTTAAACAAAGTTTTTCATTCGCCAATAGTAAAGAGGGAACTCAAGCAAAGCGGGTGATATCCATGCGTGAAGTAAATGTTTTATATTTAAATCTTGACACAGGAAGCTACAACGGGCTGAATTTCTTATTATTTGTCTTTTTTTTTTTATGATTAATTATATAATCAGAGGTAATTTTTTTATTTTTTATTCCATTTCATATATATATTATGCGACTCAAATTTAAGATTTTTTATTTTTATTAAAAAAATATCACTGAATTAATTAAATTATTAGTTTAATATTTATCTTGTAAACTTAATAAGTTAATATAGATTTTTAAGTATTAGAGTAAGTAACTTAAAAAATTAATTATTTTTAATATACCGGATCAAGTGAAGGAATATATTTTTACAATTGCTCATAAAAAATTAGTTTTAAAATATACAAAAGTCAATTTAAATACACTATGATCACCTTATATATATATAAAGATTTGAAAAATTATAGAAAGAGAAATTATTATATTATCAACCACATAATGCATAGAAAAGTGTTTTTAACCGTTCCAACATACTTCGAGCTATTATGTGCAAGAAAGGTGACTCGTCGGATAATAACATGTATACT